CCCATGGCATAAGGGAAAAGGCAGCTGAATCTCCCAGTTAATCACTTGGGGAAGCAGGCTGCTAGAGAGTTTGTGGGAGAGAGAGGAGTTATGCTTTGGTCTGTTTTGTTGTAGAGGCAGAGAAGAAGCGTGAGGCCAAGCAGCGAGCTAAGGAAGCTCAGGAGCGGGAAGTGCGGAAGCGGGAGAAGGCGGAAGAGAAGGAGCGTCGGAGAAAGGAATATGATGCCCTTAAAGCATCTAAGCGGGAGCAAGAGAAGAAGCCCAAGAAGGAAGCAAATCAGGCCCCAAGTAAGTTTGCTGTCTGTTGCAAGGTTCCAAAAGTGCAGGGCAGACTCAAGTTTTCAGGCACTCTCACATCTGGGAATAGCATGGAGGGCCTGAGAGTGTGGTTACAGGGAGTGGAAGACTCTGAGGGGGCTGGTGCCTCAGCTGGCTTGTTTCCAGTAGCTATGTACTTCTGGGCCAGCGTTTCAATCAGCTGTGTCTTAGAGCATTCCCAGAACAGGGAGTCTCACTTTCTATAGGGGTGAGGTTCTAAAGTCACCAAGACATGGTCAGGTTACTCTAAAAGGTTCTTCACAGCATCTGTGACCTCCTAGTGAGCACACCTAATGGTGTGCTTCTTTATAAAGCCAGTACTAATGTTTTTCTCCAAGATGAAACAGATCTTTGCTTCAACATCAGAGGAGTCATTTGGTCTGTGTTCAGGGAGCCACTTATATAGAAAGCACATTTGAGTATTTTCAGTTGAACTTGCATAGTAGCTCCATATCACAGGGATGATCATATACTCTTGAAGTCAAAAGAACCCCTGAGGGAGAGGCACGGAGAAGAGAGGAAGGAACACCTTACAAAGGGTGGAGGCCTGAGTTGGGGCCCTTTGCCTGCTCATCATCTCACCATCTTTTAAATTTTCTTGTTGGAAGTGGGGATTATACCAATTTACAAGGTAGTGGATGGGATCAGATGAGAAAACAGGATCGTGTAGTTCTTGGCATTGTGGGTGCTGTCAAGATTTTTAAATTTTTGCTTAAAAATGTCAAGATTTTTTTTTTTTTCTGGTTATTAATGTATGTTTGTTGCAGAGGATTTAGAAAAGATACGGTCACCTGTAATTCCCCCATTCCCAGTGGTAATTGCTGTTTTGCTGTTTTCAATGTGATGTATCATATTACCTTCTAGGCTTGCTTTTTTTTGAGACGAGGTGTCTCTGGCTTCAGCCTCATGATTTCTGCCTATGCCTCCCAAGTGCTGGGATCATAGGCATGCATCACCACACCTGGCCAGGCTTTCACATACACACTTATTAGATGATGATAACATTTGTGATATTAGTAAATCTAGACTGTTTCCCCACGTGGGTAGCAGTCTATCCCTGTTGATGTCTCCTGCTAAGCTCCTTTGCTTCAGTCCTGAGGGACCAACCAGATCATCTCTGTTACCAAGGAGAACTTACGACCCTAGGGACTGAAGCTACAGGAGACATGCAGAGTGAGTTCCAGTTTCCAGTATAGTCCCTTGAGGCCCCAGGGAGAAGAGTTTATGTTTCAGTCTCTGAATAGCAAAGTTTTTAAGAGCTCTGATATTCCTAAAACATCTTTTCTTCAGGGCTTGAGGAGGGAAATGGATCTGTGTGGAGACTTGCTTAGATTGTAGAGAGCAAACGCTGCAAACTTACGAAACTTTTTTTGTCCACTGTGACTTTGTCCCTCCAGAATCTAAGTCGGGCTCCCGTCCCCGAAAGCCACCACCCCGGAAGCACACTCGGTCCTGGGCCATGCTGAAGCTGCTACTGTTGCTGCTGCTGCTGTGTGTGGCGGGTGGGCTGATTGCATGCCGGGTGACAGGGCTGCAGCAGCAACCCCTCTGTGCCAGCGTGAACACCATCTATGACAACGCAGTGCAGGGCCTACGCCGCCATGAGATCCTGCAGTGGGTCCTCCAGACCGATTCCCAGCAGTGAGCTTGTCCTCCATATCTGCTGCCTCCCAGCCTTGGAACTTGGATTCCTATGGAATTGGGTTCTGCTGGACACAGCCTCCTTTTAGCGTCAGACCTACCTGCCATCACCAAATGGCCGCCGAGTGGTACTTGAGACCTCCCTTTTGTAGGACTTCTTTGTTCCTTAGTCAGGGATCCCTGGTGGAATAAGGAGAAATGGGAGGTGGGAAAGAACAGTTACCTGCATGCCTAAAAGAATAGGCTTGGGGGTGGGAGAAAACATAGCCTTTTTTAGTTATTATACAAAGCTGTGTAAAAGCAAGGTTTGTTTCTACTAAATGGTCAGCTGTCACTACATTTATACTTTTGTATGTCACAAACCCTTTCTTTTATTCCTTCTGGGGTGACCAGGGCAAATTAGGATGCAGTGTGTTACTAGGGATTAGGAGAACACCATATTTAGCAAATCCAGCCTAAAGTGGGGGGAACCAATTTTGGACCTCAGACATTCAAGCAGTTTAAGCAGCCATTCAAAATCCGGCTGTGAAAAGGACTTCACCACCATCAGGTCAATGTAACACTTGCAGGTAGAGAAACTGAGGCCTTCCATTACTTGCCTTTGGTCTCCCAGCTAGTCTGAGGTAGAGCTGGCCTCCCACTTCTGTATTCTTTTTTTCCTTGATGTTATTTGACCTCTTTTATGTCCCGAGAGAACAGAACTCATACCAGAATCGATTATGTCTCAGCCAAAGTATAGAATATTTCACAGTAGACGGAATCATGATTCACAAAGAGATCTCTTGCCATCAGGGTCTTGGGCAGCTCCTGTGGAGTCCTGACCTAACTTATGTGGCTTCTACAAAACAGCAGTGGGCCCAGCTCCTTGCCTCAGGTTTAGAGCATTAACTCCCTGGTTGTCAGGAAGTAAGGAGGTGGGTCTCTGCAAAGCTGCATTGTCTGTGACAGTTCCATCAGTACCTGGTGTGATTAAATACCTCAAAGGCAACCTGAAAACTCAGCTTCATAGAATCAGGTTTAGAACTGTTTAATCCTAGACCTGTAACAGAAGGGAAAGAATGAATAGAAAAATAGCAAATGAAGGGAAACAAGTAGTGTCATGGAGCTGAAAAGTGGTGCATAACTAAAGACTAGCACAAATAAGGGCAATGCTGTCCATTCTCTCGGCTGCTACATTAAGCATTCTCTTGCCTCCTTTGCCTCATCTTTTCACAACAGCTGGATGAAGGGATCATAAATGACCACGTCTCGGTGCTCGTTTGCTAAAAATTCCCAGTTGTAAACTCCTTGCTTCTCCCTGGAGGGATCAAGAGCCTGTCATAGTTCAGAGACAAAGGGCAGGGTCCAGCTTTTCCCTAGGGGCCCATCTGGATAGGTTTGCCACTCACAACTGTCCTGATACTGGAAGAAAGGACTTTGTTCTCTCCTCCCCTAAAGATAGCTCTGCTGTGTAGGTCCACACCTTACTCAGAATCACTACACATTCCTTTAGTCTTCCTCCAAGCTCCAGAGCCATTGGTACAAATGCTTTATTGAAACTAAACACATAATACATACGATGAGATGAAGGTAACAAAGAAGTCAGCCTAGTCATCAGAGTTCCTTGGCTGGTTGAGGCAGCTCAGTGGCTGAGCTTAGTCAAGCCAATTTGCAGGCAAGAGTTCACTCTGACTTTGAGATTTGATGCTGATTCTTTTGGATTTCTACAATTATTAAATCCGTGTCTGAGTGGTCTGTCTTTGCTCCTTTGTGTTTTGATGGCTGGCTGGGGCAAGGTAGGGTGGTTTGTCCATGGTGCTGAGTTTTGCTGGGAGAGGAATAAATGCTGGTGAAGGTAGATGCAAGGGTCACCGGGAGGGACACTCACAAATAAGGAGAAAACCAGGCCTGTGCCCAGGAGGTGCTTCGAATCTCACTGCTGTCAGGTTCTGAAGCTGTGGAAGCTCCAGCTTTCATTCTGTGCCTGTGGTCTAGCATCAGTCAGCACTGTCTAAGGAGAGATCTGGTTGTACAGAAGTCATCTGAAGGTAGATGCGCCTGGACAGCTCCGGCCCAACACGGCGTGAGGTGGAAGTCACACCTTCCCCACGGCGCACCTGTATGTCTGCCAGCAAATTCTGGCGTTCTTGCTCCAAAAAACACTGCCGATAAGCCTGAAAGCGGTAAATGACTTCTTAATACCACACTATCCATGGTCATCCCTTCCTTGTCCAGGTGCCAGGAGGGTGATAAGCTTGGGTTGGGGATGAGAACCTGTCCTCCCTGAGTCAGCCCACCATGTAGATCAGTCAGCTGATCTACAAGGCATTCTTGGGTCCTAAAAGATGCTGCACAAAGAAGTGATCTGGGGAACCCACTGAGGCCATGGGGCTCTGGAGGACATCCTCTAGAGCGGCATACCTGCACCAGGAGCTGTGGGGAAGGGTAGGCATCCACAATGGCACTGGCCATTTCCAGGCTAACTCGATTCAATTGCTGAATCTGCCTCCTCCAGACCAGTGCGAGTCCCCTACCAGCACGGTCTACCTTTACCCCTCCAGCCCAGTCACTCTCCAGGCAGAACGAGAAGCTAGTTTGATCTCGGAGCCTCCTGCAAATAGCACAGTTGAGAAGCTGAGTTGATTGTTACTCTTCACTTGTTCCCTCAACTGGGCACTGAAATGCCCTCTCTCCACTGGCCTGGGCCCAGCATTATTTCTGGCTAACTTGAGCCTTCCATGTTTGGAATGCTCATTCTAGCCAAGCACTGTTAGTTGCAGATGATCTTAAAGACAGTATCTTGGGCTGAAAGTAGCTGCAGTGGAGCACTTGTCTAGCATGAGGCCCAGGGTTCAATCCCCAGCAACACAAAAACAAAACCCCAAAACTGTATCTGGCTGTTTTCATTAGAAGAGAAGAGACAAGATTCTTTTGCTTTTGTTAAGATGGGGCTGTATTGCCCAGGGGTTGGTACAAGGGACTGGGTATCAGGCTATTTGGAGTCTTACATCTGGTTCTCACTTCCTAGTTGGAGCTTAGGTCAATCTCTTCAAATTTCATTTCCTCAAATGTAAAATAAGGAATTTGGACAGGATTGTCCCTGAGCTCTCTTAATTTTAAATTCTGACTAGGAACTCTCCTTAATACTTTCATATAAGCTAAAGAGAAACTTTATAGGAATGGGCTTGAGGGCTCTTTCCTCAAAAGAGACAATGGGTTGCCCTCAAAATTTAGGAGAAAGGGACATTTTCTTTGGTCCCAAGAATCATGGAAAAAGGCAAGAGCCAGCATGGAGGCTGGGTGTACAGGGGTACTCACTTGAAGGGCACCTCAGCCACAGCCTTTGTGAAGGTGCAGACAAAATCAGCCAGCTCTTTCCAGCTCTGTACAATCCGAGCCTGGGCTTCTGTGTGTAGCTGCAGATCCACCAGTGCCTAGAAACCCAAAAGCAATGATGGACTAGAAAAACAGGCAAATCCAAGCGCTGGTGGTTCACACCTGTAATCCTAGCTATTTGGGAGGCTGAAATCAGGAGAACCATGATTCAAGGCCAGCCCAGGCATATATTTTGTGAGATCCCCATCTCCAAAATAACAGCAAAATGGACTGGAGGTGTGGCTCAAGCAAAAGAAAGCCAGCTTTACAAGCATAAAGCCCTGAATTCAAACACTAGTCCCACCACCACCACCACCAACAAAACAAACAGAGGCTATGTAGAAATCATTCTCACTGTTCACTGTAGCTGCACCCCAGCTTCTTGCTCCCTATTTAGCCCCTTCTTTCCTACTCAGGGTCAAGGTAGAAGAAAGCAGTGTCTAGTAGCATTTTATTCTGTCTCAATAGGAAATCTGGTTAGATGACCAGTGAGCACCCACCTGACTCAGGCCACAGGAAGTTCTTACCTCTTCCATGTCTACCCTGGATACCATGGACCTTGTGCTGGGCTCTTGTAGTCTCTGTTGCTTTTCCTTGGCCTGTTTATTTACCACTCCTGATTTCCTTCTCCTTGGAGGATTCTGAGTCCTGAAGGAAGCAAGCAAATCAAAGAAGGACAACAGTTCCAGGCTGAGCTCAGACAAAAGAGGCACTGAAAAGTGAACCAGTATATCCCACAGGGTTTGTCAGGGATGCTATCTTGTAGAATGACTCATAGCTGGGGTCAGTAAATACCCATGTTGGCCCAAGAGCTGCCCCTTTACCACCTAAATCTTCCAGGCAAATCCAAACCTGAAGCATTTCTCCCGGTCCACAATCACCAGAGACAGTGCTTTTCCCCCTGTCCTTGCTGTGATGTTAGTTACGAAGTCCTGAAGGGTTTCCTTCCCTTCCTTGGTGCTGCCAGGGCTTCCCTGCATGAAGGGGCAGAAAGGGCATTAACACTTGCACCCTAGTGAGAAGCATGCCTCAGCCCCACCCCTCTGGCCCTGCCCACCTGCTTTAAGTTGTAGACCATGGACACGAAAGCCTCTGCCATCAGCAACACCAGGATTATAGGCTCCTCCACCCAGTCCTCTCCATCCTGTCAGAGCATCCAGAACGCAGCACATGGAGGGAGGTCAGCAGGTGTGGAGGCCCCATGAGTGGCCCATGGCTTCCAGGTGAATGAACTTCCCACCCCTTGTGCAACATCCTTTTTCTTGAATAAAGTCATGGTGGCAAGAAACAACCTCCTGTGATTCCCTCCCCAGCCCTCAATTATTCGATGTCAGTGTGTAATATCTCAGGGGTACTAAATAAGAAAGGAACATTAGGGCTGGGGAATGGCAGAGTGCTTGCCTAGCATGTATGAGGCCTTGGCACAAGCCCTGGGTTTGATTTCCAGCAACACACATGAGAGAGAGAGAGAGGAAGAGAGGGGAGGAGAAGGGAGGGGAGGGAAGAAAGGAAAGGGAGGGAGGGATGGATTAGCTAGAAGCTCCAGTTTTTTCTATGAGTTTTTTAATAGAATAACGGAGGGAATAAATAACTGATTCTGGCTTTGAAGGTAGATACTAAGAGCTAAGAAGTCCTTACAAACACACTGGATCCTTCTTTGAGTGCAAAGAATCTGAAGGGAAACCTCTGTCTGTGAGAGCACATCCTCTTTCTTCATCAGAGCTAGAGCTCAGTTAAAGCCAAGGCTGCTTCAGGGCCAAGAAATCAACAGCAGCACAGTCTTACAGAGTCCTGCAAAGCAGGACTTTTGAATAGTTTTCTGATATGGAGAGTTTTCTGATTTCTATAAGCAAAGTACAGGTGGTAGGAGCACTGGTTCTAGTTCCCTCTGTGATCCCAAACCTGGCTTTTAATTTCTCTGAGCCCATTTCTCCAGCTGCAATGTGTGGAGAATTCTCACCTTATAGGATAACCACAACTGAAATACAAGAGGGAATGTGGAAGTGTTTTGAAAGGATTAAACTGCTCTATGAATAACACCCCCAAGTTACAAGTGTGGTTATAATTATCCTAAATTACTTGGAAAGTTAAGAGATCCAAAAAAAAAAAAAGAGATGGAACCAGGGGCCAGTGGCTCATGCCTGTAATCCTGGCTACTCAGGAGGCAGAGATTAGGATTGTGGTTCAAAGCCAGCCTCAGCAAATACTTCGAGAGACCCTGTCTCGAAAATAACAGCTAGTGGAGTGGTTTAAGATATAGGACTGAGTTCAAACTCCAGTACTGCAAAAAAAAAAAAGATGGAAAAAAAAATCTTAAAGTTTGATCTCTACACTCTTGAAAATGAGGGGTGGAGTATTTGGATTCCCAGATATGCGATGTGATAGATAAAGGAAGTGTAGCAATGTGGGGAGCCCAAGTGGGAGGAAGAGCATGTACTGTATGCTGGTGCTGGGTTACCTCACTTAAGTCCTCACAACAGGGAGACTGACAGGGATGTAACAGTGCCCTCATTTTACATAAGCAACTGAGGCATTAAATCAAATGATAACTTGTCTAGAATCACAGTAATAAAGCCATGAAGCTGGGATTGGAACACAGGCCTCCTATTTCCAAAGCCCAGTTAGAGAAACAGGAATTTGGCACAGATGGACTATCTTTCCCTGTCCCACTCTGTCCAAAGAGGTGCAAGTCTCTACAGACATCAGGTGGTCCTCATGCCTTTGAGATCCCAGCTATGAACCTGAATGAGGGTACTGGGGGGAAGGAGGGAAGCAAAGTCAGGGTACAGGCTCCATCCCAGTGGGGTCACCTGGTATTTGCTACACTGCTCTACTATCGGTAGAAAGCAGCCCTCTCTATATTCCTCTTCTTCTGAATTCCACCAGCCACTTTCACCCCTTATCCCTTCAGGCATAAAGATGGTAACAGCTAAGCTAGTGAGTCTTAACTAGGAGCAATTTTTTCCCACAAGGGACATTTTTAATTACCACAACTGGGATGCTATTAGCATCTAGTGGATAGGGACCAGGGATGCTGCTAAGGATTCTACAGCACATAGGACAGCCCCACCTCATCTCCTTACAAACAATGAGCCAATCTAAAATGTTAACAGTACTGAGGCAAAAAGTCCTGAGTTGTCCTGTCAAGACTCTGAGCTACTGTGCTGTCCCTTGTAGTTTCCTTGTACCCTGCCTACGCTTTGGAAAACAGTCACTTTATTAAATCCTCCTCATATCATCCTAAATTGAGTATGCCATCTGTTTTTCTGCTGCAGCCCTGAGTGACATATACTCTTTAAAATAAAAGCATATTTATCCTATAACTCTAAGGGATGGAGGAGGAAGCCACCAGCCAGAAAACCCTTACCTCAGCCAGTCCTGCTCTTCTTCTCCATGTGATACTGCAAGGCACAGCCTGGGTTTCAATCACACAACAGCACTCCATGGACTGCAGGGCTCCGAGGAGCTGACCCCCACCTTCCATTTGTAAAAGCACTGCAACAGATGGGAAAGGACCTGTCAGTGGAGGGTCCAGGAAGCAGACAGATCAGCTCGGGGTGAAGGCAGATGCTAGGAGGACCTGGATCCAGTACCACGATGATGTGCTTTAAGCATTCCTCTGGCCTCTGGGCTTTCAGCCTGTTGACCAGTGCTGCCTTCTTTTTCCTTTCCTGCTGTCTCAGGGTGCTTTCCTTCCAGCTTGCTTGTCCTTGTGGATGACATTCTTGAGAGCCTCTTCTCTGGACCTTCTGACTATGCTTGGTTTTCTTCTGAGGTGGGAGGATGTCAGAGTTTGTTTTGGTTATTGCCAACCGGTTGCTCTGGGCAAGGCAGGTAGACCGATAGGCTAGAAGCTGATGGCATGGATTGTCTAAGACAGGGTCCTGGTTATCTATTGTACTCCTCTCTGAGGTATCATGGAGGGGAAAATCAGGGATCTTTAGAAACGGCTGTGTTTTCCAGTTACATGAGGCTCCTTTGTTATTTTGATAATCCAAAGTACTTTTCACTGAGGAGCTGGAATCCTCAGGGCTTAGCTGCTTGTGTGACAAAAACTTACATGTAAGCCTCTCAGCCAGGGGAATAAATTTCTCTTCATCCTCACTTCCACTGCTTAGCACTCTGACAGGCTCTGCTTGTGTGAGAGTTTCAGCTGTGTCTGGGACAGGTGGTGAATTTTTCAACCCTGGTGATGGAGGATAAGAAGCCTCAGAATCTGAGATGTCAATCATTAAAACCTTCTCCACTCTCTGAGGCTGCCTCCTTGTTGAAGATGGTTCCTTCTTCAGAAAGTCAAAGGTTGGCAACTCCTCAGAATCACTCTCATTGGAGCCCAGTAAGAATGATGATTGTGTTAGAGCCATTGATATGTGCTATCAAATTAATTGCCTAAAAGGAAGAGACACAGTTGATAACATTCAATTTGATCAAATAGATGTGTTCTTATAGCCAAGATTTATGAAGATAAAATATAAAGAATTAGAGAAACAAGATTTATGAAGATAAAATATAAAATATAAAGAATTAGAGAAACATGGGGGCATGGGTCAAGTGGTAGAGCACTAGCCTAGCAAGCACATGGTCCTGAGTTCAAACCCTAGTGGTACTGGGAGGGGAGAAAAAATGAATTAGAGAAATAGGACATACCCAAACACATTCATTCTGGAACTCAGAACAGCTACACTGGTAGTCTAACAGGATCCCCCTTCAAATTCTTTCATGGTCAAGTTGAAGTATAAACAAAGTAGTTACTATTACAAAACCTTAATGGGAGTACTAACAAGATTCAATACCACCCCTTTATTGATCCCTGTATAAGAAATGAAGATCTTAGCCGGTAGCTCACACCTGTAAATCCTAGCTACTCAAGAGGTAAAAATCAGGAGGACTGAGGTTCAAAGTCAGTCTCCATCTTGAAAAAAATCTATCACAAAAAAAAAAAAAAAGGGCTGGTGGAGTGGCTCAAGTAGTAAGAGAACCTGTCTAGCAACCATAAGGCCCTGAGTTCAAACCACAGTGCTGCCAAAAAAAAAAAAAAGAAAAAGAAATGGATACCTTAAAAGTCATATTTTTGGAAGGCAAAAGCAATGAGGAGGAGCATGATCAAATTACTTGTCATGCATGTATGAAAATAGAATGATCCCAGCTACTTGGGAGGCTGAGATCAGGAGTATCATGCTTGAAGGCCAGCTTGGGCAAATAGTTTACCAGACCCCATCCCCAAAATAACCAGAGCAAAATGGACAAGAGGTGTGACTCAAGCAATAGAGAGCCTGCTTTGTAAGCACAAAGCCCTGAGTTCAAACTCTAGTCCCACCAAAGAAAAACAAATGAAACTCATTAAAAACTGAAAAAAAAAAGAGGTAGGAAGGAGGAATAAGAGAGTAATAGGAGGGGGTGAATTTGATCAAAGCACATTATATGCATGTATGTACATATCACAACAAAACCCCTTTATGTAATTAATGTGTGCTAATAAAAAAGTCCTCTTTTTCCAATTGACATATAATTCACACATATTAGTGTTCATCACTTAAAAATGTACAGGTCAGGGGCTGGGGGTGTGTGGCTCAGTGATAAGAATGCTTGCTTAGTATGCACAGGGCCAATATTGCAAAAAAAATTAAATGTACAGTGTAGTACTTTTAAGGTATTCAATGTTGTACAACCATCACAACTATCTAATTCCACAACATCTTCATCACCTCAATAAAGAAAACCTATAACCAATTAAAGACATTGCCCATCTCCTCCCCCAACCAAAAATCTATTGTCTCTATGGATTTGCCTATTCTGGATATTTCATATAGTCACACAATATGTGCCCTTCTAGACTGGCTTCTTTCACTTAGCTTCACGTTTTGAAGGTTCATCTGTGTTGTAGCAGCATGCATTAGTACTTCATTGCTTTTTCCAGAAGAGTAATATATTCCATTGTATGGATACACCATGTTTCTTTATCTGTTCTTCACATGATGGACATTTGGTTTGCGTCCATTTTTTGGCTATTATGAATAACATTGCTTTGAACACAAGTTTATTGTTTTGTTTTGTTTGGTGATACTGGGGTTTGAACTTAGGGTCTCATGCTTGCCAGACAGGTGCTCTACCACTTGAGCCATTCTACAAGCCCACATACAAGTTTTTGCGTGGACATATTTTCAAAGTTTTCTTGGGTGTATGTTGAGGACTGGAATTGCTGGGTCATATGCAAGTCATTCTTTGGACAATTATACAGTTTTTTGGGTTTTTTTTTTGTGAGACTGGGGTTTGAACTCAGGTCTTTGTGTTTATAAAGCAGACCCTCTACCGCTTGAGCCACACCTCCAGTCCATTTTGCTCTGGTTATTTTGGTCTCAGGAACTATTTGCCCAGGCTGGCCTTGAACCACTATCCTCCCGATCTCAGCCTCCCAAGAAGCAGGAATGAGCGACCGTGCCCTGCTTCTTTGAACGAATATTTAGACACTGTGGGGGTGACCCTGAATAAGCCAAGTAATCTCCCTTGGTCTCGCTTTCTTTAGTTTTAATAACACCAGTTTTCGATGTTTGTGAGAATTAAATGAAATAATGCATCTACCACGCTCAGGCTGAGTAAACTGAATGACTAGCGAGAGGGCCTCATTCTTGTCCTTCCCTCGGGCCTCAGCTGTCTCCGGCAGAACCAAGGGGTGGGGCAGGCAGGCCTCTGCTGGTCACGTTCCACGCCTGAGACCGGCAGTCCGCTGCAGAAGTACCCAGATACCCTGGCCACCAAGCCCCTGCAGCGCGGCGTTTAGGATGGCAGCCTTGACCCGCGGAGGAACCACGCTCACCTGCAGCTTCTCGCGCCACTCTTTCAATGTCTACGCAGGACCCGGAAGTAGAGCTGCCGGAAGCGGAAGCAGACTTCTAAGACCGGAAGTAGGTTGAGGTAACGATGGCGTTGGCGGTGCTGGCGCTGAGGACGCGGGCAGCGGGTAATGAGACGCCGCAGAAATAGCGGGCGAACCTGCAGGGAGGCTATGTGTGTGTGCGTGTTGGGTGGCGGGCGAAGTGGTGCCCTGCCTTGGGGGAATGTAAGGCAGGCGAGGTTCGAAGGGCGCTGTCGCCGACCACGTGACACGTCCTGGGCGGAGCTGCGTGGGGGCGGGGGTGTTTCCTTGGCGGTCACTCCTCTTCCCTCGCTGGGTTTGTGTGGGTCACTTCATCTGCGAAGAGAGCTGAAGTCGAAAAGTTAATCCATTGAACAGATTTAGACCTTACTTTGTGGCAGACGCTGTGCTTAGAATATCAGCAGGAAATCTGTGCATTTAGTCTCTACTAACCCCTAGTCTATTCCTTTCTGGTAGCTAAGCCAGTATGCACATACAGATAGTTGCGTATCATGATTTTTGCCGTGAAGAAAGAATGGTGTGTGCCTATTTTTAGATTAGATGGTAAGGGAATTGCTCTGAGATAACAGCCAATTAAGACCTAAAAGACATGTGTTGACAAGCCGGGCGCCGGTGGCCCAAGTCTGTAATCCTAGCTACTCAGGAGTCAGGTTGGAAGCCAGCCTGGGCAAATAGTTCACAAGACTCTATCTCGAAAATACCCAACACAAAAAAAAGGGCTGGTAGAGCGTTGGTAGATCTTGGTTGAACTTTTACTTGAAGGGCTTTGGGAAGGAAGGGCCCAACCTTTCTGAAAAGGGCAGCAGCCTATGGAGCCATCCTTTGGTCAGCTGCCCTTTTTGTGTGCAAGTATCTGATGTGCGGTGAATTAGGAGGAAACAGAAGCCTTTCTGGGTGTTCAGTTGCTGGACTCTGTGGTCTGGCCCCTCCACAGGACATAAGGGTGAGTGAGGCTCTAAAGCAGGCAACTCTGTGGTGTGTTCCTGTTGGCCTCTTCTGTTTCTGTGGTGTTTGTTTCTTTTCAGGATTGAATTGTGTCAGGATCCAGAGTGATGATGCTTATTTCCCCATTTATATTTCACTGCTTACCCTCTGTGGCACACAGACACACACATACACCATGTAGTGCTTACATCCTGGACAATACAAAGAATGAATTGTCCCTTGCCAGGGAGAAGGACTTCCAGGCATTCCCTGAAAACAATTTCTGCTTCCTTCATATATCTGTCCTATCTCCCCTGCTAACTCTCAACTTAGCCAGGGGCCCACAAAGGCAGTGTGTCTGTTTAGGAGCCTCTCTGAATAGTGTCTCTCTTTTCTCTGCATTTACAGCCCTGTTGAGCCCTACTCCAGCCACAGCCCTTGCTGTTAGATACGCATCCAAGAAGACAGGTGGCAGCTCCAAAAACCTCGGTGGAAAGTCACCAGGCAAACGGTTTGGCATCAAGAAAATGGAAGGTGAGGATGTGCCTTGGCTTCTGTTTTCCAGCTGCACCCTATCCTGCTGTGTCTCCCGTCCCTTAGAAAAACTGGAAAACTACGCAGGTGCTGGGCCTGTGCTCTGCTTAGCCTACATAGCACTCAGCTCCAGATTGAAGGGGCAGATAAGACCTGGGGATGTATGCAGGGGCCTGAGGAAGAGTGAACCTTAACTGTGCAACTAGAGGAGAGGCTCTGGGTGGGGGTCAGTTACTGCTTGTGTTAGACATTCTGGGAATTGTTGCTTATTAGAGGCTGGTATACAGCACTTGGGCCAATATATTTTCTTAGTGGTCACTGGGGCTCATCAGCATACTTGTGGACTTCTCTTCTAGGTCACTATGTTCATGCTGGCAACATCCTTGGGACTCAGCGCCAGTTCCGCTGGCACCCAGGGGCTCATGTGAGTTGCTTTGTGGCCCCCCTTTTTGCTTTTCTAGGACAACCCTTCCATGCCCCTGTGCATAGTAAGAATAGTAGCAGTTGCATTTATTGGGTGCGTACCATATGCCAAGTGTTGTGCTGATCCCTGTGCCTGCGTTATCTCATTACCACTTCCCTGTAAGGTGGGTGGCATCTCCATTTTACTGGTGAAATGCCAGACACTTACAGAGTGGCAGGGGCCGAGTAATAGTTGGGATTTGCCTAACATTAGAACATGGCACATCTTATGCCTCATCTCTTCAGCGGGAAATGGAGGTAGTTCCATAATGTGAGATGTGAGGCAACTGTAACTGCCTGAGGACTGAGAAGCAGTAGGCTGAAGGCATATATAGTAATCTTCTGAAGATCATAGAGTTCTTACTGATGGTGCCATGTGTTTTTAATAATTTACAATTTTGATAAAAATTGACTCGAAGGAATTTTTTATTCTATTAGAACTAAATTCAGTAAATACTTTCTTGAGGGCAGTACTAAGGTTTGAACTTACGGTTTTGCACTTGCAAGGCAGGTACTCTACAGCCTGAGCCATGCCTGTAGCCATAGCCCAATGTTTATAGTTTTCCTTTCTAACCTTCAGTTCTTGGAGGATGAGGTCCTAAGTAATTTCATATCTTTCTTGAGTTTGGAAAATTAATTTCAATATATTAACTTTTCATTATTTGAAGAGTTTTTCCTTTGTATAACATTTTTATTAGATGGTGGAAAGATAGCTTGAATTTAATAAAATAAAATTCATGTGTGCATCAGAATTAGATCCAGCCAGGTATGGTGTTGCATGTCTGTAGTCCAGTACTTGGGAGACTGAGGCAGGAGGATCAAAAGGCCAAGGCAAGGGGATGACTCAAGTAGTAGAGTGTCTGCCCAGCAAGCACAGGCCCTGAGTTCAAACTCCAGTACTGCCAAAAAAACAGAGTCTCAGGCCATAGTATTGAGAACCTGTCTCAAAAGCAAACAAACAAGCAAAACCATAGCAGGCAGAGATTTCAGTTTTAGCAAGTTTGGATTACTTTGTGAAGTAGGGAAGTTCTTTGTTAAAAAATAACTATACTGGGCTGTTCACATTATTTTAAATATTAATTTAGTTTTTCTTTCTCTTTTTTTAAGCCACCTGCCCGAAGTTTAGTTTCCTTCGTAATCAGTTTCCTCTCTGTCATTCCTTTATTGGTAATTTTCCCCTCACACATACCAGGCAAGTGCTCTACTACTGAGCAACACCCAACATCCCCAGCTGATTTTTTGGTAATTTTAATGGACACAGAAAGGCTGATGGTAATATATAATTATTTCACAGATGCTAGTTTGGGGCTGGTGGAGTGGCTCAAGTAGAGTGCCTGCTTAGCAAGCCCAAGGCTTTGCGTTCAAGCCCCAGCACCAGAAAAAAAAAAAAAAACCAAAAACTTAAAACACAGAGATGCCAGTTTGGGTGCAAATTGATTATAAATGCAATAGCTTTGTCTTTTAAAATTTAAATGATACTGGGTATGTGGCTGTGTTCATTCTTGGGGTTCTCAAAGCTAGCATGCTTTGAGCTCGGTAGTATTCCAAGGTCTTCCTGATTGTTAACTCATTGAATCCTTAAGATGACCCTATAAAATAGTTAATATTCCCCTTTTATAGATAAAAAAATTTAAAAAAAAATTCCTAGGCTGGGATTACAGGTGTTTACCACCACGCCGACTTCTAATGCTTTTCTCAGGGGCTATGATTTGCAGCATCCTCCTGGGCCTGATTTTAGGATCTGTCCAGTGTGGCTTCTGACCAGCTGTATAGACATGGCTACAATATTAGCCCTCTGGGACTGCACAGCCACCAGGATTGACTATTAGCGTTCTCTTTTCCCTTCTCTGTTTTGAAATCACTAAAGTAGAAGCAAAGAAGTGCCAAGCAGTGGAAAAGGAACCTGAGATGGAGCTCTCTGAATCTCCTTGGGCCCCAGGGCCTGACTCTGAGGGAGAAGTCTGTCCTGAGGCCTTGGGACAGACAGGTTGACTGTCTCCCTTCAGCCAACCAGGTCTGTGTATTGCAGGTGGGGCTGGGGAAGAAGAAGTGCCTGTATGCCCTGGAAGAGGGGACAGTCCGCTACACTAAGGAGGTCTACGTGCCCAACCCCAAGAACTTGGAGGCTGTGGATCTGGTCACCAGGCTGCCCAAGGGTGCTGTGCTCTACAAGACTTTTGTCCATGTGGTTCCTGCCAAACCTGAGGGCACCTTCAAATTGGTGGACATGCTTTGAAATCCTGGTTGAGGCCATTGGACAGAGACTAGAGCACAGGTGACAGGAGACAGTGATACTAGAGGACATCAAGGGTTGGGGAGACATCAAGGAAGAGGTCTGCCGAATGGTGACTACAGGAGACTGCAGCAACTACTGGGAAATCCTTCGGGAGATCTGATGTGGGCTTAAATAAAACTAGCTGAAGTCACGAGTCTATGCCATTTGGAGACAAACCTGGGTGGGGCTGCTTACTGGCCTGCCGTCTCATGCACACTAGAGGGAAAGGAGGAAAGAGGCCTGTCAGAGCCAGGGGACTTTGTTTAGAGGAGGAGGTTGCTTTGACACTATCCCCCAAAGGAAGGGAAGAGGAGAGCTAGGGTATCACTGCTTCTTCCCCCTTCGATGCCCTAAATATCCAGGGACTAGGCCCTGGGAAGAGGAGAGGGCAATGGAGGAAGCAACACACCTGTAATCTTCACCTAGAGCCTCATGCAGAAGGAATAGGCTGCAACCCCAGAGATAGCTATACCACCTCTACGGGTTCAGGGGAGAGGTAATCTGTGGAATAGCAGGAGTCCTCCCTGAGAGGCTCAGTCAGGACCTACCTGCCCTGTAAAGTGAGGGACCTTCCAATGGTGAGCCAGAGAGTAGGTGGCAAGGGGCTTCTTCCAACCCACCTAAAGAGCTAGACATACTGAACCCATGTTCTTTTCTGGTTCTTAATTTATGTCAAACTGTAAATAGCAGCAAAAACTCCAGCTTGAGAATACTCTGAGGGCCTAGAGTGGGCTGGAGATCAGGACTCCACTGTCAGTCCAACTCAGACTTTAGAGGCCTGGCTTCAAGTGGAGGGGCCAGGAAGGGAATCCAGTGGTGTAGATGGTCACTCCGGTCTGCTGGAAGTAGTTGGTGGTGGCTGCAGCCTGAAAGAAGGGCTTAGAGAGTCCAGTGACGTCCAACGACACTGGTCTACCAGCAGGCAGAGGCTCCAGGGATTGAAGGCAGAGACACTTGAGTATTCCAAAGTTCTACCTTGAACATATCACTTGTCTGAGAGCATAAGCCTACATTCCCCCATTTCTGCATAGAGTTTGTGGGGTTTGCTTTGATGTCCTGCACGTGGGGGTCTCAACTACTAAGGTCTAGCTGGATTAGGCCACAGGCAGGGGAGATGGTGAAGCTGTCTGCAGAGGCTCAATACTGTCCCTTCTAGTCCCCTGAAGAAATGGAAAAGGGCAAGATAGGTGGTTGCTCCCTCCTGCACAATGGTGTCTCCCTGAGCAGGGCAGATGACTGCTTCCTGGGATGGGTGAACAGAGCCATGGTTGGGCAGTAGTGCAGGCAGTTCCTTAGGGCCTCTGTCAGTTGGTGGCAGCTGGAGGGATAAGAGAGCCTTTCCCCTAGTGACAGTTCCTTCCTGGAAACTAGTTGGGTCCTGGTGCTACTGGCTCCTTAGAAAGCCCTTTGCAGGAGCCCAGTAGACCTCCCTGGGCTGGGCTCTACCTCCTTTCCTTGACACAGGTGAAGTGGGCCCTCTAATGGGATCCTGGGGGTCCCTACTACTGGCCCTTTGCTTGTCCTGCCCAAGGGGCTCTAATTGAACATTGTATATAAAAGAGCAACATGGGAAAAGCTCTGTTCTCCAGGGCACCCAAGGCTGGGGAGGCCTGACATTCATTTCTGGAAGCCAAGAGCTTGAAGCACTGTGCAGTCAGCTAATGAATCTGCTGCTGTAACCCTTCTGTGAAAAACTCAGCTGGGCCTGAGAGCTGGCTGCCACCAGGCAGCTGGTGGCTTTTGGGCAGCATCACTCAGAATACCTTGCCCTCCTGAGGATAGTCATATGACCAAGAAAAGCCCAGAGAGCCAGGGAGGCATGTACCATCCTTACCCAGTTTCCACCTGGGGCCTCCTGAGCAGCCTAAGACCCCTGGTCCCACCTTTCCTCCTCCCCTTCAAGCCTCTCTAGGCTTCAAATCATTCCCTTCTCTTGTATTCCTTTTAGTCACTCTAAGCACACGGCCCCTTGCTTGGCTTCAGGATACCTGCACACACTTCTTCCTTACTCCCTCACCCCGAGGTTGGTAGCTCCAAGGGTCCTCCTTTACCTGTATGTTTCAGGACTCTGGATGCCTTTCTGCTGCTGGACCTCGATGGAGATGGCCACAGTGCTGAGGGAGGGAGAAGCCAGTCCTGGGGATTATGGACACTCAGGGTTTAGAGTCAGTGTGCAAGAGGTCAGAGCCCAAACACTTTCTTGTCCCCCTTTATAGTACTCTCCACCAAGTCCCAGGCCAAACCTCAGGCCCCAAGCATTTGTGAAAAGCATTTAGATGTAAAGAGACTCTGGTCCTTTCTGACCACTGGCTCACTCTTTCCTCATCTGGCAGGAATCTCTGATGACCTTTGGAAGAGCGCCATGGAACACACCTCCTCCTGTCACCACCCATCCATCCTGGGTCTGGTACCAGAGATGAGGGGTCAGAGTCAAGAGGCTGCAGCTCAGATTTCTTTTACTTCCTATTACAGATGCCATTTGGTGACCTGTCCCTGAGGAGAGGACTGACAGTGTTGGAGTTGCCACTTGCCCCTCCCACAGCAGCTCTGGGCTTTCCAGGAGCTGGGTTAGGGGGTGGGAAAACTGTCTTCACTGAGGATTCCCTGCATGGTGTCCTTTTTAAACAATTGCCAGGGAGGGGCCTGGCAAGGATGTTGTTAACACTTTCCCTACTGCTGCCTTAACCCTAGGGAATCCAGGCTGGATGGTACAGCTTCATCAGAGGTGATCCCAACAATCCCCTTCTCTACTAAATGATTGTTTCTCTTAGGCCAGAGCGCAGGGTCTCTAGTGTCAGTCAGAACTGGGGTTGGGGCTCTGCAGGTACTGGCTTGCTGGGGAGGGCTGCTTATGTATTAGCTGGGACTCTGAAAGAAGTGGTAGGAGCAGAGAACTAGGCTGCACTGAGGGTGGCACTGACACAGCAGCAGAAGCTGAACGGCTACAGGAACACCAGGGAAAAGACTACCACCCCCAGAGGCTCTGCCAAGGCAGCCTGGGCCTGCAGCCATGGGCCTACCTCCTCCAAGGTTAGAATTCAGCTCCAGAAGTTGGTATGGGAAGGGTTCAGCTTGACATGCTGGGCAAACTGAGGTGCAGACAGCTCCCCTTTTGTTCCTACATCAATCCCCTGGGGCAGAGAGCAGAGGGCTTTCTTTATCCCATGTCTTCTTCCCAGGGAAGGAGAGATGCATGTAAAGGAGGCTTCACAAAGGGACATATTCTGGGAAGAAAAGACTGGGTCTGAGGTGGCAGGAGAGGACTTAAGAGCCTGAACTCGCAACCCCTGGTACCCAGCCCTCTCCTGCTATCAAAGACTATTTGTAGAACTTGGCACTGACAGGGGTTAGGGGTCATGGAGCTGCCATACACAGCATTCTTCCAAGTGGCTTGTGGAGGAATGTGGCACTTGGTGACCTTATTGATGAGGCTGGGCTTCTGCCATAGTGAGAGGCCAAGGACACATCTGCTCCGACTCTAACTTGGAATGGCCGTAGGTATTGACCAGTAGCTGCGACTATGGCCAGGAGGCTGTTGTCTCCGCACATGGAGAAGTAGCACCAAGGAAAGGCATAAAGACTTGAGGGCAACCAGCAGGATCTCAGGGCTTGGTGTCCCCTAGGGGCTACAACCACCACAGGAAATCCAAGCCCAGAGGATCCACCTCCTTCAGACCCAGCTGTCAGCAGCTCTCCAGGTCATCTACCCTCTTGCCCTGCTTGCCCTGCGTGGTCAATACCAGACCGTGATTTAGTGTTCAGTAGATAGCAATTCCCCTTGTGAGCCTGGCAGCTGCTTAGACCCCTTTTTCACTTTCAGGGGAATGGGTTGACTGGAACAGGCTCAGCTTCTGCTGAATCTGACCATCAGCCAGGAGACCTCCAGCTGTCTAGATTTCAGCACTTGTGTCTCACATTCCCTCCCACTTTCACTTCCCATTGGCCCAGATAACTGGGCTCCCAGTAAGGACTGGCTGTCTTCCACCTCTAATGGAACTATGGTATCCATGGTCATCCTCGAAACCGGGCATATGGGCCACAAAATACAAAAGCCTCTGGTCAGGATCTACCAGACCTTCCAGGGCAAGTATTGCACAGCTCCGATGCCAGCTTGCTTGAGCTGCTCCCCACTCCCACCCCATGTCCAGACTGTCCTGAATTCTGATCTCTGCCCCAGAAGCCCTGCCAGATTGCCCAAGCCTCCAGGCTGAGCTAACCCTACAGAAAGGAGTGGAGAATGGGAATACTGCCAGCAGTTCTGGCAGCTTGCTGTGCTCACACTTGCCTCAGTGATCTGAATGCGAAGTGGACAGTGCAGAAGGCCTCCACCCCCAAGCCTGCCTCTGAACTTGGAGAAGTCCTGGAGTGTGACCCTGGGTCCTCCAAATCTTTGAACTCAGTGAAACCAAGCCAAGCCTGGCAGAGCAGTGGGTCTGGGGCTAGATCCATTCGGCCTGCCTGCAAATGAGCATTACTTGGTGTGTTTAAAAACACACCAATGATGGGTTGCTACCTCTTACCAACTAAATCAGAGTCCTCAGTCAGAAATGTGACCATCTGCTGGGCTAGACACGAATGCAAACCCAGAATGTTTGCAGCAGGTGACAGCAGTGTGTAGACAGGATCTGGTATATGATGGAGCATGGAAGGGGAAGACAGTGTGTGAGTCACCTATTAACAAATCTACCCAACACAACACAACCACAGCCTAGTTAACTTAGCTGGTTTGTGAGCTCTAGGGCAGCAGTCTACTTGCTCTGGTATTTACTGCTTGTACCTAATATGCTTAATCCAGTTAGCAATTTTTCTTTTTATTGGCCCAAAAGTTGATGTTGGGAAACAACATTCTAAAGAACTAGAGTACAGCTACAAATGTTCACAACAATAGGAGTCAGGAAAAATAACCATCTTTTCCTCAGGATCCAGACAATTGTATACTCTTGCCCTTAGTCCTTCCTGGTTACTAGTTCTGCCAAGTCCTTATGAGAGGAGAGTGCAGTTATGGAGCGGCTGTAGAGAGAGGAGGTCCCAGTAAAGCATGAAATGAGTTCATCATTTCATACCTCTTGGCCTTAGTTTCCTGATCTGCCACATGAAGCTATTAAAAGTGCCTGCTTCCAAGGGTTGTGAGGATTGAGAACTGCATGCCAGGTCAGAGCAATGGCTAAACAACCCACCCCAATGTTGTTATTGGTGGTCAGGAGCGCCCTCTCCTGGCAACTAGGAAAACGACTTGGCAGCTTGGGCAGGAATTGAATTCTTTATTCCCCAAGCTGAGCTGGCTGAGTTGAGCCCAGTATGGCTGGCTGATACTGTGATTTTAGAGGTTTAGAAACCTCGCTTTTGCTCCCAAATCACCTAAGGCACGAAGTACTGAGTTCTTTCTGAGAAATGGGGATGGGGGTGCTTTAGAAAGGGAGGGTGGGTGGACAAACTTTTTACAGTTGTCCCTCCCAGGTCTTAGGTCAGACCAGTGACCAAGCCCTACTCCTGGCAGAGACAAGTTCCAGTGGTAACAAGTAGGCCATGGCTGGGATAGCCTCTGTTCTTGGGGAGCCTCAAAGCAGGGCTTGGGCAGGAAGCAAATATGATGAGAATTCCTGGGGTGAACCCTGGTGCTGGCAAGGGTGAAAAAAAAAAAGCCAGCATTTGCTGCAACCTGGCTCAGTGGCAGGAGTGGGAGTGCTGGATCAGGGCTTACAAGAACTTAAGTGCCAGTCATGTTGGCCTGCTAAGTTGCAATGAGGTCTCTGGGCCTCCCAGAGCTGTTTACCCTACAGAAAGAGAGGGCTAATTTACTAGGGGTGTGGCCAAGTGGTAAAGTACCTGCTTAGCAAGCATGAGGCCCTGAGTTACCTCAATACTGCCAGAAAAAAACAAAACAAAACAAAAAAAACAGAGGGGGCTGCATTGGATGAAGTGTTTGTTTTTTGTCTTTTTTTTTTTTTTTGGCAGCACTGAAGTTTGAACTCAGGGCCTCATACTTGCTAGGCAGGTGCTCTTACTGCTTGAACCACTCCACAGCTCTGGATGAGGTTTTGCATCTCTTCTGGCTCTTGTATAGATTCTGAACTGGTCCTGCTATGAGGTAATGAGATCTTCACCTTCTCAAGGCTATCAAAGTACCAGCTAAGACTCCTAGGAGAAGGCAGTCCAGAGAACAGCATGGGAAACAAAAGAGGAAAAACACAGGCTCAGCTTAGAGAGATAGAGATATATTTCAACTCTGTTGCATATTTCAGACTTCACACTGAGCTTCAGGCACAATGCAACTCCAGGTTCTCCTGAGCGTCCTGATAGTCTTCCTACACTTGCTAGTGAGGCTCACCTCTGAAGGGCGCACCTGGGAATACCTGGGAAACTGCATTGGTCTCAGTAGGCCCTGATGCCCTGCCTTTCCTGGCATATGGCAGGGTGTGCTGGAAATCCCGAGAGCCAGCCCCACCCCTGCTCTAGGGTCCCCTGGCTACCAGAGGAGAGGCTGTCCCGCTAGAGCCCAGCTCCACACTGGCCCCCAAATCACCTGTTTTCCAGGCAGGTCTCAGAGCCTGGTAGGGCACCTGTACACCTGCAGAGCCTCAGCCCTGAGCACCACAGGCCCAGGCTGGGGAATGCGGCCCAGGAGAGTGAGGCAGGCCCATCTTCTCCAGAGCAGTAGCAGATGGGCTTGGCAGGCCCTGTTCCCCACAGCCATGGCCCACTTCCTGGGGCTGCTCTGAGCCCTATTGCACATCTTTTGTTTCTAGCTCCTCCCCACACCACCCATTTTAAAGTAAAAAAAAGTACAAACTAGGGAGGAGGGGGAGGAAGAGTCGGCACACAGTGCTGCTGAAGCATCTTCTCGTTTCCACTGACGCTCTAGTCCCTAGCAGAGCCATGAGCAGTAGTGAGTACTGTGCCCACCTTCCCTGCTGTCAGTGGGTTCTTGATGGCTGAAATGGGTGTACTGCCTGGACCTCTGGTTCTTGTGTGTAGGAAGGGATGTCCCTCCATCGTCTGTAAGGTGCAATTCCCCGGGTCTTCCGGGCATGTTGGCTGGGGCCCTGCTACCTGAGTCGCCCATCTGCTTTGACAGGCCCCAGCTCCGATTTGGGGTCAGGGGACAGAGAGCTCCAGCTGGTCAGTCTGCAAGGCTCCAGGGAGGGGCAGGAAGAGGGGCCCATGGCACACAGTCCCGCCACAGACCAGAAACCACTCAGTTCCCCATCTGTCCAGGCTTCGAGTGCAGGACCTGTGAGCTCTGTGTGCTGCCAGGCAGCCTCCTCCATGGGCTCTGGCTGAGGCAGGTTCAGAATACCACTCAGGCCCTGGAAACTCTGTTCCATGTATTCATTGTGAGGTGGTCCTGCGTGCAGCCAGCTGGCATCATCTGAGAGGGCAAAGCAGGCAGTAAGCACACCCAGATCCCATGCAGACCAGGTCCCAAATATCAGGGCTAGGAACCCCAGGCTCATCTCAACCTTACCACTGGCTCCCATCTTATGGAGTGACCTTAGGCCAATCCAAGGAACTTTCTGTGCCTATAAAATTGTTAGTTATACACTTACGAGGACTGAAGGCCTATCGTGTAATGCCTACCTACAACATCAGTACGTTTGTGACATGAACTTGTTTAGAGAAGGAATTCTCAGTGTTGCCTCTGTAATTTATTTTGAAGAAACTTGAAATTTTCTAAGGATACTTTTTGGCTTATGTCAGAAAAATAAGAATAAAGATTAGAAATTTTATAAAAAGTTAGTTATATAAAATCAAAACAGTGGGTTAGAGGTGTGGCTCAAGTGGTACAGCACCTGCCTAACAAGTGCAAAGCCCTGAGTTCAAATCCCAGTACCACCCAAAAAACCCCAAAGCAGTAATCTCTGAATTCCCAACTTTAGGATTAATCAAACAGTGGGTTCAAGGCACTTTAGAAAATAAGGTAACAGTGCCAGGCATGGTGGTGCATGCCTGTAATCCCAGCTACAAAGGAGGCAGAAGTGGGAGAATCTAGGTCTGAGGTCAACTTGAGCAAAGTTAGTCGGAGACTCTACCTGAAAAACAAACTAAAAGCAAAAGGACTGGGGTATGAGTGGTGAGGCCTTAAGTTCAAACCTCAGCGTCACACACACACAAAGACAGGCTCAGGAAAACCAAGTAATTTCCAAGGCCCAAGGCCCTAGTGGCACAGTCTTGTTCCAAACCCAAGTTTGGCTGATTCTACAGCTTCCCTTTCCACCTACCCTGGCATGATAAGGGAAGATCAAGGCCCCAGCTTCTCCCTTCCCCTACTCTGAGGGATGGGGTTCAGCACTGACAGTCAGCTTATTGAAGGTCATCTTCCTGGCAAATCCTATTCTGACTGGCCTCTGGGCACCATGTGGGTAATAGATCCATACCTTTACTGAGAGGTAGTTTGCGATTGAAGGTCAAGGGCAGCACGAGGAAGTGGATCTCACCCAGTGGTTCCCAGAACTGAAGCAGTCGAACAGTCCAGGCTCCTGGCCGCAGGGGCCGGCTCAGTGGAGGCTTGTACTGTGTGACCTCTGTCTCCGCATCTACTGTGATGTCATATGATGTGGCCACCACATAGGTTGGGTCAATCCATACCACAGTGGCTGTGAGGTTGGGGCCCCGTGCCCAGCGCTGCATTGCTACAGGCTCATCCAGTGGTCCCAGCAGCCCCCCAAAGTTCCGGAAAAGACGCTCTTTGGGGTCCCACTCAGTGCCGACCTGTAGGGAGGGGGGCAGCTAGGCAGGAGCCTGGGAGAAATGTCCTTCTTTCCATTCTGATACTGCCTCTCATTGTGTAACCTCAGGCCAGTCACTGCCTCTTTTTGGACCTCAGTTTCCCCATCCACAAAATGAGGGGTCAGACTAGAACTTTAATCTTTCTCCCAGCTCTGAGGTCCATTCTAGGCATCCATTCTGAACTGCTCTGCAGTAGTGGGGCCCATGGAGCAGACTATTTTCTTTAGGGAAAAGAGGAGCCCCCCCTCCCACCAAAAGCTCAATTTTATGGCCCAACTGGAATGTCCAAGTCCCTCTAGAAGAATCCTTATAGTTTAGAAGTCTGGGCTTGCATTGTAGCAAAACTGACAATTTCCTTCCTACCTACTACATGTCTTCTGTGTCCCCTTTTGGGAGGCTCCTCAGTGTGAACATGTCAGGTGACACGGGCATGTCTGCATGGGCATCACCAAGGCTGCCATTACTGGGAAAAGAAGAACCTGGTGAACCCAGCCTACAAAGGTTGGACAAAGTCCTCACCCCTCCTCGGTGTCTGTCCCTCTCTTCCCATTCCCTGTGTCTTGCTGGGGGTCAGGAGAAAGCAAAGGGGGAAGACCTGTCCCACCTCCAAACTCTGGAGCCGGCTGGCCTGGTCACTGCGCCCCAACAGTTTCAGCGACCCCTGGGGCATCAGCCACATCTCAAGCGTCTCTGCTGGCCCCTGGGCTGAGGGCTGCACCGCCTGCGTCACCAGGTAGCCCTGGAAATGGTCGTCATAGAAATACAGGTGCACACTGGACGGCAAACCCCTGGGCTCAAACCTATGAAGGTTCCAGCAGGGAGAAAGGGAGATGCCATCAGCACACCTGACTTGGCCTAAAGTCCCAGAGACAGGGCACTGTGGAGTCCCATCCCCAGGCACTTCCTTGGCCCCAGATTTCACACCCCACAACACCTATGTGCCTGGCTCTTGCTTTTATTATTTTTCACATTTTTCCCTGCCTTAGACTGGGAACTCACTGTGGGCAGGGGCTGTCTTTTCCTGACTTGCCTCCCCACAGGGCACCATGCTGAGGGTTTGCTGTAGATCAGAAGGGGGTCTCACCTGCAGAGTGTGGTGGCCAGATGGGGTGCAGCAGTGACAGCATGGCGCAGGCTGAGGCGGGCAAAGGCGGTGTAAGCAGTGAGCATGACATCACTAAGCCCACTGGGGCCATCAGCCGCATCGTAAGTGTTCTCCCAGTAGGCCTTGAGGGCTGGTGTGCCAGGTGGGTAGCTACCATACAGGTGGAAGTCCAAGATTTCCAGGACCTCCTGGTTCACTGTTGACTCAAACTTCCGGGCGAAAAAGGTGGGTCTGGAGACTTGCTGGAGAAGGGAAGGCAAGGAGAGTGAGGGGCTCTGGAGGCCCCGGAGCATAGCAGCCAGGCCTGGTCTCTCTCAGCATGGCCTATGCATCAGCCTCCCCAGGCTTTTCCTGCTGCTGCTGTAGGCCCAGATCCCAGGGCTGCTCCAGGTGGAGGCCCATCCTGACTTTCTGACCTGAAGGTCATGGGAAACAGCTGGGCTGAAGGCCTCTCAGGGACCTGGGAAAGCACCTGTAGGCGCAGGAAGTCCTGTGGTTTGAAGTCGTTGGGGGAGCAGCCGCACCAGTCCACGATGTGCTTGTACTGGCACTTGCAGCCCAGCTTGCGGTTCCAGTTGGTGACCCGCAGGTTGTTGTCCACCAGGCTCTCACAGGCTGCGCTGTTCTCCAGCACCGTGTGGAAGAAGGACTGCAGGTGGCAGGGGAGGGTGTAGGGTAAGCCATGGGTAGCCCACCCCACCCCACCCCACCCCTGGTCTTTGTGCCTGCTTGGGCACCCACCTCAGCCGGGAGCAGTGTATATGTGTAGAACTGGCGTAGCTGGGCCACAAGTGGGTCATCTGTGTACACCACATACTCCACAAAGCCGCGTGTCAGAACAAACCAGTCAGAGCCACCGTCCACCACGATGCCCGCCGGGATCTGCCGCTCACCCAGGCGCCACATGTGCGAGTCACACTCATGGAACAGCCGGTCCAGCCCCTGCTTCTTGATGAACCTGTGGGTAGCAGAGGAGTCATGGCACAATGTCCCAGAGTGAGGTCATCCACCTGCCACCCAGTACTCCTCCATCTGTGGCTGGTTTGGGGTTTTGTAACCCAGAGCTGTGACCACCAAGTCCCCCTGTGTGCGAGGGGTTGTGACAAGATGCCAGGGCTTCCTTCCCTACCTCCCTCACCTGGAGTTGTCCCGGCCATGCGACTTAAGGAAATTCTTATCCCGATTCTTGGATAGGAATGCCACCAGCTCCTCATTGGTCCTGGAAAGGGAGGGAAGTGTGAGGGGCAGTAGCTCAGTCACTGGCCCAGATCTGGCTCCCTCCAGTGCACTTCACCTTCACCTTGTGGACTTTCCTTTCTCACTGAGAGTTCTCCAGCCATGTGCTCTATCTACCCCAGGCTGATGCTCTGGGGTGGTGGTACCTGAGTCCCCCAAGGAAGACCCCTTCCTCTCCCCTTGCTATCTGAACCCAGGTATGGGCCTCTGGCTCCTCCTCCTTCCCATCTCATCCTTCTCAATCCTTGGGTCATTTTTTTTTTTTAACCAGCCCTCCACTGACACATGGCCAGGAAAAATGGAGCCATATCTGGACTATATGGATCCCAGAATGACACTTGGGGGAGGAAAAGGAGGCCATCAGGGCCCTCCAAGCCTCTAGGGCCCAGACAGGGCACCACTCCCATGCAGAGGGTTAAGAGCCCCATCTCCACACCTGGTTGGGTAGTCAGTGGCACTGAGGTTGATGAAGAAGTCCCAAGTCCAGCCAGGTACCTCCAGCAGGTCCTGCATACTCCGCAGATACATCCTGAGAAGGCTGGCCCCACCCCAGATGGTGACCATTCGCCAGGGTGTCACCTGCACATTATCATACCGCTGAGCCAGCTCCACCACCTCACGGTGCAGATAGTTGGAGCGCTGTGGGAGACAGGATACTCACCAGATGCAGCTGGGCCTCAGAGTTATAATTTCCCAGCCCAGGACAGAGTACAAATAACAGAGACTGGCAGGACTCTGGCTTCTGTACTTCACCATTCTGGGCCTCGATTTCCCTATCTCTAGACTACTTGAGCCATGTGAGAGACCCTCTCTGTCTGCGACCTTTGAGTCTGCTCTGGTCTGCCCACATGCTCTTGGTTCCCTGCCCACGTACCTTGTCCACATGGATATAAAAGAAGTGCTGCTTGTGGTAGACAGCCTTGAGGAGACGCTTCAGCTGACGGATGGCACGACCATGAACCACCAGCATATAGGCAATACGCACTGGGGGGCCATCCAAGGGCTGCTGGGCACGGCTCTCTTCCCACTGGATGCCAGGACTCATCTTCCCTTGAGAGCAGAGAACAGGAGCATTGGTGAGGCTCATCCTAGGCCACAGAGCAGGACAAGATGGGAAGAGGGGCTGCCTGCCTTCCAGTAGAAGAAACCCAGGCTTGGAGCCCTGGGTCCCAGTTCCCCTTCTGCCACTCAGTACATATAATGCAAACTTGGGCAAGGAGTTGGGCCCTCTGGGAACTGAGGTGAGGATCTGGACCACACTACCTCCCCATCCATGCCTAAGAAAGACCAGAGTGCTCTTGTCCCTTACCAGCCAGCTGGCAGTGCCGGGGCACAGCCTTGGGCATGAGGCTTCCAGCCTGGTGCAGGCACACCACGTTGGCAATCTCCTGCTGACACTGCTTGGTGCTGGCCCGGGCCAGGGCAGACAGTGCGTCCTTGCCCATGATTTCACATTTAGGGGTGAAGCCATTGTCAGTGGGCTGGGGAGCACCCTCCACACTCCCCGTATCTCCATGTGGTGGGAAGCCAGCAGCCCCTGCCAGTGCCTCCCCAGCTGCTGCCCCACTCAGGTTTTGGCGGCCTGGAGCCTCTGGTGGTGGGGCAGGAGGGATCCGCCGGTTAGCTCTGTGCCGGCTGGTTACTGCCCGTACCACCTTGGCCACTGGCACGCCTGGGCTCTCAGCACGGCCCCGCCAACGCCCATGCCTTCTGCCTGCACTGCCCCGCCGCCCTGCTGAGCTGTCTGTGTCCTTGGAGCCCTCACCAGGGTCCAGTGGCCGTGGTTTCCTCTGCCTTCCTTTCTGTAAAACATGCAGAGAGAGAGAGAGAGAGAGATCATGGGATAGTTGCTCACTTCCTCCTTGGTCAGGGGAAGCCTCAGACCTATAAGCTTCTACCCATCCTTTATCTAGAAATCCTGCTTGCCTGAGAACTCTGCACAAACAGCATTGCCTCCAGGACTAGCTGGGTGAGGAAGCCTCAGCTCTCCCTCCATCACTCATGTGCCCCACTAGTTCTCGGATCACTCAACACTGTGCTCCCTTTTCGTGCTCTGGACTCTTGACACTACTGTCTCTTTCAGCAGATGTTAAGATGAACATCCATGCATACCCTGGGGAAGGGCCAGAGTCCCTGAGAAGACACAGAAGCGTTCACCACAGATCCAACCCTCCCACTAGAGGCTAGCTAGGAAAACACAGTATTCTTTAGAAGACTAATTTCCAACTGCATCCAAAGCATTCTGTGGACTAAAGTTTTCTATAGGAGAATATTGAGGCCACCACAGAGTGACGGTGTTTTTGCCCAGGAGGGAGAAACAGAGGCACAGTCTGAGACCCCAGTACTGGCTGGGTCCTTAGTAGGGTTACAGTACATTGGGGGTACACCTGTAGATGATGGGGGAGTGGGGCAGGAGCCAGTAGGGAAAGGCTCCAGACCGCAAAGACACTCTGACAGCCATGTGAGGAGAGGGACAGAAAGTGCTTCAGCCTCCAATGCAGCTCCAAGAAAGCCCTGGCCTGCTGGTGCACTCTCCAGCACCAGGGCTATCTATTGACAGCGAGCCCTTGAAAACTCACCATGCTTGGTATCTGGCTGGAAAGCTCCACAGCTAGAGTCTGTCTGTTGTGCACTTGTGACAGGTTCTCTTAAAGGGAACACTGAAGCCCCTCCATGCTGCCTGAAGCACCCCTGCTTCCTGGCTCTAAGTGCTCTGGTGCCTCTTCTCCAGCCCAGGCACTTCCCCAGATGGTCTGGTCAACTTGATCCACCCTTTTCCTTGCTCCCTGTCCCCCTTTCCCTGCAAGCCAAATCCCACACATCCCTTAAGATTCAGCTCTAAGTCCCCTGGCAGGAAGCCACTCCATTTGTCCCAGAGTGGGATGTGCTGAGTTCTGAGACCTGTATGATCCTTTAGCAGTCTGTGAACTCCTCAAAGGGAGCCATACCAGCCCCCATCTCCTCAGGGCAGAGTGGAGTAGTTGTACACAGGGGATATCTGGCTAGTGTCTGAAATGTGGAAGGGACAGAGGAAAGAGACATGCCATAGGAGTTCTCAGGAGTCACAGCTCTCTGGCCCCAGCACTGTCACATCAACAGCAGCCACTCAAACTCTCTGAGTATAGTTCTTCAGCTATGAGTGAGGATCAAATGAGATGGGAAAAGTGATTGTATAGAGGGTGTCATCTGGGCTGTCCTGCTCACCATCACCTGTAGGGCTCCTTTCTTTCCCTCCAGCATTCAGTGAGCTCTTGGTGATAAGAACTCTTCTTAAGTGGCCTGCAGGTACTCTCTCCCTTGCAGTATCCTTCTTACTTGGCTTCCAGGGGACCCTTCTGTGTCTTCTCCAGTTCCAGCAACTCCTCACTAGTCTCTTGGTTCTTCAGGTGAACCCTAGGGCCTATCTTCAGTCTAGCTCCTTCACTTCTCATCCATCTTATTCACTCTCGCTTTCTTTCTTTTTCTTTTTTTTTTTGGCAGTACTGGGGTTTGAACTCAGGGCCTCATGCTTGCTAGGCAGGCACTCTACCACTTGAGCTACTTCACCAGCCCTTTTTTGTGTTGCTATTTTCAAGATAGCTTCTCACGAACGATTTGCCTGGGCTGGCTTTGAACCGTGATCCTTCTGATCTCTGCATCCTGAGTAGCTAGGATTACAGACATGAGCCACCAGTGTCTGGCTCACTCTCACTTTCTATGCTTCTTCATCCACATCCCAGATTTCTTTCTTACCTGGAAGGCTCCCTTGCACCTTTAGGCACTGAACAAGCAATCACCTGGTCATCTCCCTTGGGAGTTTAAAGACCGCTCAATCAAGTCCAAGTGTGAGCACATGCTCTTCCTCTTCAACCTGCCCCACCCTTAGTCTTCCCCATCTCAGTCAGCAACCATAAGTAGCTCAGGCCAAACACTCTGGGAATCAACTTTCCTCGTTTTTTTTTTTTTTTTTTAAAGTTGGGGGAGTAGGTGCTGGGGATGGAGCCCAGGGCTTCATGCATGCTAGGCAATCACTCTACCACTGACCAACATCCCCAGCCCTGGGAAGTCAACTCTGATTCATCTCTTTCCCTCACACCCCACATTCAACCCATCAACCAGCGTATCCTGTTGGGGCCACCTTGAAAATACACAAACTCTGCTGCCTCTTCACTATCAACCTGCCCCCCCCCCCCCCCCCCACACCCACACACACTACCACTGCCAGATTTCCTGCTCCTCTGCTCCCTCAGTGTCTTCTCACCATAGCCATCAGTGTTCCTGTTAGAACTTAAGCCCCCTCCCACCACTCTCCCACTGCAAACTTCCAGTGGCTTCCTTTCTTAAGTCTTGGCTGCCCCTCTTACTGCCCCTACCATCTCCAACCTCTTCTATGAACCCTTCTGCCTCATTCTTCTTCAGTCACAACATCATCTCAGTGTCCCTCCATTCCACCTACTTCTGGCTCTGGCTTTGCACTGGCTCTGCCCTAGGACTGGAATACCCTCCCCAGACATCCCACAGCTCATTCCTTGCCTCCTTCAATTCTCTGCTCAGACATCTAACAAGGCCTGCCCTGATTACTGTATTTAAAACCCCTGTTCTCCTTCATCCTCCGCTTTATTTCCCCTCCACAGAACTGTTATGATACCTTCTGTCATCCTACCATTTATCTGTATTGTGTTATTCTGTGTCTGTCCCTCACAAAACTGCAAGCTCCATGAGAGCAGCAATTTTTGCTGTTTTGTTCAGTGACATATTCTAGAGCTCATGAGAGTGTTTGGCAATCAATAAGTATTGGTCAAATGAATGAACACAAAGGTCTTGGTAAGTGCCATTTTTTTCATTATTGTTACCGAGGAGACAGCAACAGTCAAATGTGAAGTCAACAGACAGGCCACCAGACATCTTGGACTCCAGATGGAGACCCTGCTCCTGACTTCTCTAGGACCTTCCTTCAGTGCCCCATTGGAGCACAGCAGGAGCCTGACAGCCACCTTCAGGCCAGAGCCCCACCTCTACACCTTGGCCTCTATGTCCAGCACGCAGCCAGCCCTCTGATATCTTGAGAGGTACTCACAGAGAACTGGGGTATCCATCCCCATCTCAGAGATCCCCAAGAGGAGGCAGTGGAGCTTGTTTTGTACCCACATGGAGTAGAGGACCCTGGGCTGAGCAGCCCCCAGGAAAGGGAGGGCAGCTCCACTGAGCTGAGAGTATGTCAGCCTGGTGGCATCTGTCCTGGCCATACAGCAAGGAGAGAAAGTCATGCCAAGCTTAGGTGGATAGAGATGGCAGATCGGTGTGAGTTCCTGGGGTCAAAGCCAGTATCAGCAAGTTAGGAAGCTGGTCAGGAGAGCAGGGCAAGAGGGCATTGAGCCAGGCTGGCTGCAGTGGGGGACAGGATGTGGGAGGAGACGGGCATGTTGGTGCCCTGCACTGCAGCAGGAGCTGGTTGACCCTGAGAAGGACAATCCCTGAAGAGGCCAGGGACCAGAAGGCAGCAGTGAGGAATTAGAAAAGCCCTGCTGGGCAGCCAGCCCCCACCGCTACCCCTCCCAGCATGTCCATATGAGCACTAGCAGGGTCCCAGGCTTATGCCCCTAGGAGGGCTGTGCCCAGTACCCTCTGAGGTCAGAATCCCCCGATTACTGAGGGTAAGGACTGGTCCTCTGGCCTGATGCATTTAGCTCCAGAGGCCCCCTCCTCCCTAGCAAGGAGGCATTGAAAGTCTTCTGATACTTCCCAGGGCTGAGAGTCCTTGAAATCTTTCTCTAAACCACAGAGACAGTGGACACAGAAATGTGCCCCCCTCCCCACCTCAGACTCCTCAGACTGCATTTAAAACAGTGGTGAGAGGATGTTTGTGAAAGCTTTGAAAACTATCAAGAGGCTCTTTGGAGGTTAGTGATCATCCCAGGTATCCACTCCCTCCTCTCCACAGGCTGCAGAGTGCACAGCATAAGTGCACACTGGGTCCCACCCCAGTACTTTCCTGCTGCACTCAGAATAAAACCCGAGCCCCTTACTGTGCCTTCCTAGCCATTCCTCGCTGGTGTCTAGCTCAGCCCATTCTCCTAAGGGCCGTCTGCCCACTTCTCCCTGCAGGAAGCCTTTCCTGACCTCCTGATCTAAACCAGCCCCTTTGTTACTATGTTGAGTCCCCTTTTCACTGTCTGTCTCTCCCTGTATACTGTCTGCCCATGTGGGCCAGGATCTCATCTATTCTGTATCCTCAATATTAACATGGTACCTGGTGCAAATAGGACTTAGTGTTTGTTGATCAAATGGCTGACTGAATGAATCCTTATCACCAGTGTGTGGTGCTGAGATAGTAAGAGTTATGTACTGACAACTTAGCATGTGCCAGGGACTCCTGCAAGTGTTCACAGGCGCTTTTTTACTTCATCTTTATAAGCACCCAAAAGAGGTATTACCCTAGGGAAGAGAGGTGATCCAGTAGTGGTCTGCTCAGAAGCAGAGTGGGAACAGGATGGTGAAGAGGGTGATCCAACTTCAGTGTTCACCATCCTAAGCATGACACCCTGCAGCCTGGCAACCCCCAAATCTGGTGAGATAGATGCCAAAGGGTCCAAGCACCCGTGGCTTTCAGAACTGCACAACCTTTAGGTCACTGGGCACTGGAGTCCAGGAGTCCTCTCTCAGCTTCAGCCAGGAAGCTGGAGGAGAGGGTGGGGTGGAGGTGGGCACTCCCACCTCTCCACTGCACTAGTTCTCCACTCCATCTTGTGGGTACAGCAGCAGGGATGCAGCCCAGCCATTCAGCACAGGGCCATTTATTCCTGAGAAGGCTCTGGTGCTCTGACATGCCCCTCCCCAGAGTGGTCACTGTCCTCTGCTCACATATCCCAGGGTCACAGGGGTCCCATAGTGCCCCTGCTGCCCACCCCATCTCAGATGTCCCATCTGCTCAGAGATTTTTTACACTGGGCAAAAATTCTCTCCTCCTCCTTACTGGTCCACACAGCACAAACTCATTCCCTTTAGAAGTCACAGAGCCGGCCAACCAGCGCTGGCCCATGGCCATCCTCAGCTCTTTTTGGAGTTAGGGTCTCACATGACCTGTTCTTGTTCCCTGGGCACCCCAGACAGAAAGGACAGCTCTTCTCGCAGGCCTAACAGACTGCTGGGGTTCAGGAAGGAGCAGGGGGCTGGGGACTCCCTTGACTTTCATCCTTCCAGGCAGAGAAGCACGGAAGACATGACAAGCAGAGACTACCCAAAGTCCCGGAGGCACCAGAAGAACCGGGCTCAGCCAGGGAACCCCTGACCTCCTAGCTTAGGGCTATGGTGTGACCCATCCTCTGCACACTTCCAGGATGGACCCAGACCCTAACGGACCCTTGCTAGCCACACTGGGAAGGATACGTCTGGGCCTGCAGCTGAAATCACATCACCCAAGATGTGAGGAAGACCCTTGGAGCAGTGACCTGGGGCTCTGCTGAACCAGCTGCTGAGGTGTCCATTCCCTTAGCGCCAGAGGAGACTCCCTGTCTATTCTTTAAAGTCCTGAGGCTAACTCATCTGCCCACTTCCTCCTCCCATCCCCTCCTGAAGATCCGCCCAGGTTCTTCAAAACCTGCTGACAAGACCACACCTAGGGGACACTAGTTTTCTCACTCCCTGTTCCCGAGTATGCACTTTATCACAGGCCTTAACTCTAGTCCTGAAATTCACTTCCCCACCAGCTGCTACCTCTCAGATGCAGCAGGGCACGGATACCCGGGGTCCTCCTGCCCCAGTCCTCCGCCCACGGCGCGAACACCCCCGTCCCCTCCCAACTTCAGAAAGTTTGGCCTGGGGCTCCCTACCTCCGAGCAGGCTTGGGCCCAGCCCCGCCTCCCAGCCCTGCTCCCCGTTCCTGACCTTCATCGCTCCGCGGCCGAAGACCACCGCACCATGACCCGCTCTCCCACCTCGGCCCCCAGTCCGCCCGCCGTCCGGGCCTCGGGGTCACGCACCGCCCCCGCGCACAGTCCGCCAGGCAGGCCTGAAAAGGGAGCTCCAGGGAGTGAACGCCCGGCTCCTGGTGTCCACCTGCACCCTGCACGCACGCGGCCAGTGTCCCACTTGTCCGGCTGGGCAGGGGCCACCCGCAGCCTAGCCAGGACCCCGCGCGCCCCCGCGCCCGGCCTGCCCGCCCGCCCGGCCGTCGGAGCACCTCGCCCGGCTCGTCGTCTTCCAGGCCGCTGAAGCTCCACACCACCAGGCCCTGCAGCAGCAGGATGGCCAGCGCGGTGGCGATCGCCAGCTTGTAGCGCCGCACCAGCTTCTGCACCCGCGCGCTCGCCACCATCTTCCTGCCCCGGACGCGGGGCGCGCGCCCAGACCTGCAACCCGGCCGCGGGCGTGCGCACGGGCGCGGGGCCGAGACAGCCACCTTCCCTTCCCCTCCCAGGGAGGCGGACCGGGCGCGCGCCGGGGCGGGGCCGGGGGCGGGGCCGGGGCGGGACTAGAAGTGCCGCGCCTGGCAGGCTGGGGCGGGCCCTGGGCTGGGGACGCCGCGGGCCTCCTCTGCCTCCAGTGTGGGCCTGTGCGCCGGCCTTCGAATTTCGCCTCCCAGGACGAATCTGCACCCTAGCCTCCCTTCCACGTCTCCGTGCGTGCCCGTGTGTGTGCTCACCTCCTGGACAGCAAACGCAGGGTTCCGGGGTGCCGAGGGTCTGCAGCCCGGCCACTCCCTTGCCCGGTGGCCCGGGGCGCTAGGCAACTCAGGCCCCGCGGGTAAGCTTTCGGGTCTAGGATCCTCTAGAGCCCCAGAAACTCCTGTTGGGAGAGACCCTGCTTAAAAATCTGCAGGCCGCACCTAAGGGCAAAGCATAACCCCTTGACCGGCTCCGATACCCTCTACAAAAGCCCTTTCTGCTCTGTCCCTCTCAGCCTGAGCATCCTCAGGCCTCGGCTAGAGTCTTGGTTCTCAAACTCCAGCTTGCGTCGCAATCACCTGGAGGACTTGATAAAACAGACCCCTAGTCCCCACCCCTGGAGTTTCTGCTTTGGTAGGTCAGGGTTGGGACCTGACAATTAGAATTCTCAGGTTCTGGGTGGTACTGATGCTGCCGGTTTGGGACCAACTTGGGAAGCCACTAGACCTTGGCATACCCTGAGAATTCTCTCTGCCAAGTCCTAGCAGCCACCCCGCCCTCTGTCAGTGGCATCTTTGCCTGGGCTTCCAGTGCTGGGGACAGTTGAGAGTTGTCATGATTCCCCTGCGATCCTGCCTTTTTCACCCTCATAGCCTCTCTTAGAATACCCAGCAACGCTCAAGAAATGTTAGGAAGGAAAGAGCAGAAGCCCCAACTTCCTGCCTACGCCCCTGACCCTAACGTCTTCCAGAGTCTGCATGTTCAAGAGACATGTTAGACAGGAGGACTCCACACTACTGGGGCCTCCTCCGAACGGCAGGACGGTGGGGAGAGAGAATGCAGTGCTCACCATAGCAAGGTGAATAGAGATAGCAAAACCCAGATAAAAGATAATACTTTTGTTTCTTTGAGAAAGGTCTCTTGCTGTGTTGCTCGGTCTGCCTTCTGAGCTCAAGCAACCCTCTTGCCCTAGCCCCTCAGTAGCTGGGATTACTACTGAGTATATTATAAACTTTTTTTCACTTGTGGTATGGTGTTTGAACTCAGGGCCATTTGCTAGGGAGGTGTTCTATCACTTGAGCCACTCCACCAGCCCTAGCAAATGTGAGGTAGAATGCCTGCTTTGCAAGTGTGAGGCTCTAAGTTTGAAACCCAGTACTGCCCAAAATCACTACAGAGAAGTCTGGGAAGAGAATTTTTTTTCTTTAATCCAAAAAGGTTGAAGGCAAATGGCAGAGGGGCTTGGGAGATGCCAGAAGATAGCTTGGGGAAGGAATTCTACACTGTGCTGAGCATGGAAGGGCAGACATATTTAATACACTTCTATAAAACTTCCTTTAATCCTGTCTGGTACTTTGGCATTTGCAATCTGTCCATTCCTCAGCATGAAATGAAAGAATTGTAAACAGTGTTTCAGATGACAGTCTGGCTACTTAAGAGAACCACACTTCAAGGATCTGGGAAAACATCAGTTGACATTCAAGCAATTGATATGTTAATTTAATATCGATCTTACGTGCTCATTAAATCAGATCCCCAAGGGACATCTACCTGCCAATACTTCCCCCCAACAATGAAAATAGCTTCCTTTCTCCTTGATTGTAGAAATAGTATATACTCAACATTTAAACATAGAAGCATAAGTGTGCAACCCCCAAGAAAATCATCATTAACATTATGGTGACTATCCTTTCCCCATTTCTGTATGTGTACATCAGTTTGGATGGATGGGGTCACATCACACACATGGTTTTTATAGAGAGAAAATTTTTTTGAAATTTTTACATAAAAATAGTGAACCCTTCACAAATTTGCTGTCATTCTTGTGCAGGGGCCATGCTAAGCTCTGCAGCATTCCAAATTATTTATTTTATTTTGCGGTACTGGGGCTTGAACTCAGGGCCCACACCTTGAGCCACTCCACTAGCCCTTTTTTGTGAAGGGTTTTTTTGAGGTAGAGTCTCACAAACTATTTGCCCAGGGCTGACTTCAAACCACTATCCTCCTGATCTCTGCCTCCTGAGTAGCTAGGATTACAGGTGTGAGCCACTGGTGGCCAGCTGTCATTCCAATTTTAGTACATATGCTGCTGAAATGATCACAGGAAAATGTTGTTAAGTATTTATTTCTCTTCTATTTTAACAGCTTGGCTTGTTTGGTTCCTTCCAAATTTCCTTTCTTCCATCTTTCCCATAACAATCCCCCCAAAACACACAGTTTCTTTATTTTTGCAGCAAGTCATATTTAACTTTTTCTTTTGGGGACATCATTATGTTTAAGAGTTGGGTCATAGTACATACTCTTCTCTGCATCTTTCTTTCCTCCCTTACATAAATACATGGTAGAAATACAGTAGAAATTCCCCTACCATGACTGGGCCAGTTAAACTTATTCTTCATTGTCTTTGTGTGCATGTGTGCAGGCACAGGTTCTGAGAAGTGAATTCAAGGCCTTGCACATACTAGACAAAAGCTCCACCACTGGGCTACACGCCAGCCCTAATTCATTCTTTTTAATGGCCACATCATATTCCACCCCTTGAATGGGCATTCGCTAGGCTTGTGGGTCTTGGATTGCCACCAGGCTGAGATAAACATGCTTCTGTGCTACCTATGATGGTAGTGTTTCCCCAGGAATGGAACTACTGGGGAAAGGGAAAAATTTTTTAATTTTAATAGCTATTGCCAGATTGCTGTCTCAAAATGCTGTGACATTCACATTTGTAACAGCATATGAGAGGGCGTCATTTTCCTGCATCCCCTCCAGCAGTAGGTGTGATTCTGTTTTTAATTTTTGCCAATCCCATAGGTGAGAAGTGACCTCAGTGTTTTTAATTTGCACTTCTATGCTGGACACTGCACACTAATTGGCTTATTGACTGTTTGGATTTGCTCCTTCACTTTCTTCATGAATTATTTCATTGCTATTGCATTGTTTGCCTTTTTCTTACCAACTTTAAGAGTTTTTATCTGTTTAAAACTTAAAGTTCCCTCAACTTATCACTGCACTTTGACTCTTTAAGACCACTCGAAAATTTTAAGCTTTTTTTTTTTTTTAAATCAGGTATGTTCCTGTTTCCTTTTAGGGGTTTTCATTTTCTGCTTTGGTTTCATAGTTGTCCACAATCCTTGGTGATGTAGTTGGTCTCATATATTGTCTCGTACTTTTTTTTTTTTTTTTTTGTATTTTTGTGTTGTTTTTGTGGTACTGGGCTTGAACTCAGGGCCTAGACCTTGAGCCACTCACCAGCCCAATTTCTTTTTTTTTTTTTTTTGAGGTAGGTCTCACGAACTATTTGCCTGGTTGACTTTGAACCTCGATCCTCCTGATCTCTGCCTCCTGAGTAGCTAGGATTATAGGCGAGTGCCATCGGTGCCTGGCTTATTTTGTATTTTTGACATTTAAGGCTTTTGGAATATATTTTTTGTCTATGATATGAAGTAGGGGTGCAGTAGTCTTTAGTTTAGTACATGGTCCCAGTCATTCTATCAGTATCTATTAGATTTTTTTTCTGTTTTTTACACAGATTTGTTATTGAAGTATCACATGCATAGGTTGATATACATTTGACTGCATAAACTTCAAGGTTCATTGTATCCCTCTGGCCCCTGTTTTCTTTCAAGTCCTCTATAACTGCCCATTGTGCCTTTTTCTTGTATTGAAAATACAAAATGGCTCCTCAGAGCATCAGAATTGGAAAGCATTCTTTAGTTGTAAGTAGGTTATATGATACAGCCTTTTTCATGTGAAGGGTTATCTTGTTGTCTTAGTTATCATATGATATAATATATACATTTGTGTGTGTGTGTAGTGCTGGGTGTAGAACCCAGACCTTGCACATGCTTTCTTTGCTTAGCTTTTTGAGACAGATTCTCACCATGTAGCTTAGCTGGCCTTGGACTGGCGAACCTCCTGCCTCCACCCCCACCTCTGGCCTTGCCAGAGGTTTCCTGTTGAGGCATGGATGCTGAATGTTTTCAGATGTGCTTCCAGCAACCAGAGTTCAGCCTTGGCTCAGCACCCGAGGACGTAGAGATCCCTGCAAGAAAGCTTCCAGACTGGGCCTCCAGCACCCCCAGACTGTCCACCCTTTATCTGATTGCTGCCTTTCTTCCAGATTGACACTTTGCTGATGTTGGCTTTACCCCAGGATGCTACTTTCTTTTCTTTTTTTCTGCTTCTTTTTTTTTTGGGTGGATTTGAACTCAGGGCCTTATGCTTGCTAGGCAAGCACTCTGCCACTTGAGCCACTTCGTCAGCCCCAGGATGCTCCTTTTTGGAGTACCCTCTGCTAAGCTCACACAGAGTCCCTGGTTTCTCTGCTTGTCAGGAAGTTCTGATGTCCATTGAAGGGCGTTTCAATGCGACCTATTAGAATGGTGAATTCTTTTGAAAAGAATTGTTACACATAATAAACATTTTTGTATCCTTAGAGTAAATGTTACTTAGTCATTGTCAATTTAAAATTTATAATGGAACTTAAAAAAATTTTAGTGGTAGAGATTGAACCCAGGACTTCGAGCATGCTTACGCATATTACTTTACCACAGAGTTATATTCTAGCCTTGATTTTTCAGAGGAATGTGGGGGACAAGGTCTTGCTACGTGGCCCAGGCTGGCTTGAACTCACATCCTTCTGCCTCAGTCTCTGAATCCTGGATTGCAGGCATTTGCCAATATTTTTTTTTAAGTTGTAGTGTAGGTTGGATTGGGTTTGCTGGTGTTTTACTTCAGATTTCCTATCCATGTTTATAACGGTGAAATACCAAAGACCACAACTTGTCTTTTGGACGGGGTTTTTGGAGCATGTGATTC